AGGTGCATGGGAGAGTTTTTCACCAGTCAGTGCTATGTTAAGACTATGTTTACACAAAATATTGTAGGCCTATAGCCCACCTTAAAATTGTTGTCACAGCATCCTGATTAATGCTTTATTTAGTTTAATTTTGTGTTTATACGTTTTGCATTTTAATAACTGTTGTGGACGTTTCAGAGATGATCAAGCAGCTAAAGACTTCATTCGTGCCACACCTGCATTTCAAACATGCATACGTCTATGCTTTTATTTGTGAAGGAAATCCGGTTTTACGTTGAACTACAAAGGCGGAAGTCCGTGTACATCCTGATGTGCAGCATATTATATGTTCCGGTCGGTTTTTCAAGGCACGTCTCACAGCAATTCCTCCGTCTTTTTTTGCTAAATAATTTCCTTTTCTGCGATCAAAATGCCCTTAAAGTTTGAGCTGTGTCCCGGTAGAATGATCGGAGGTAACCATCCGTGCTTCATCATTGCAGAAATTGGACAAAACCACCAGGGAGACATTGAGATTGCCAAGAAAATGATCAAAATGGCAAAGGTAATAAAATGGACACGTAACGTTAAAGTTATCGGTTTATTTTGAATGCGAGAAAGTGCACTTGTTTTGTTCTTATCTTGACCAGCAAGACCTCACACAAAGGACCGAGCAGACTCGGAGCTCAATTTAAAAATGTGCCAATTTAACATATTGGTCGCCTATACAGTCTGAATGAGTAACGCTAACTTACATTGAATGCGCATAAACTTTACTAATGTATGTTTAGCGACCTCTATGCTTGAATTAGTAGTTGAAATTATAATGCGCTGATTAATGTACCATCTATATGCAAGTCGGCTGAATGATTATTGTAAAACATGTTAGCTATATTATAGAACGTTAAATTCCCAGATTTGTGAATGGAGTTTGGTTTACCTGGCACATAGTGGCATATATAGCCATACTATGGCTTCTGTATGTGTGCTGACGAACAGTGTTTTTTGTTTGTTCATTCAACAACCTCATAGATGGAAAACAAAACACAAACACATAAGTATTATCCATTATTTTCCATCCATTATAAGCATGTGATCTCCTTTAATCCCAGAGTCCAGCATGATACTACACTTAAAATATATTTAAATAAAATTGTAATAATTCTAATAAATGATCCATGTCCCCTCAAATTAGTACCAAATCACATAATCCTCTCCAGGAACCTTCCTGTCAGTTGAAAGTTGTATAGGCCTATCTGTTGTTTTCTAGGACTTTATAGGAGTCCACAGGGCTCCTAAAATGAATCATTACTATTTAATACATTTTACAAGCTTCCATTCTTTTCTTCTTTTCGGACCTTACTTATATCCACCTTCACAGGACTGTGGTGCTGATTGTGCCAAATTCCAGAAGAGTGAGTTAGAGTACAAATTTAACAAGCGAGCCTTGGAGCGCCCATACACTTCTAAACACTCCTGGGGGAAAACTTACGGGGAACACAAGCGCCACCTGGAGTTCAGCCATGAGCAGTACAGGGAGCTGCAGAAATATGCAGAAGAGGTGGGGATCTTCTTCACCGCCTCAGGAATGGATGAGGTAGAAAGGTCCTTTTGATTATGCTTTTCAGGCGTTTTAATCAGGCTCAGGTTTAACTACAACATTATCTCTCTTCAGATGGCAGTCGAGTTCCTCCATGAGCTCAATGTGCCTTTCTTTAAAGTGGGCTCTGGAGACACCAACAACTTCCCCTATCTGGAGAAGACTGCCAAGAAAGGTGAGAGTTAACCATCCAAGTGTTCATGTTTATCATCATGTTTATTAAAATGGCATACACAGCGGACAAAATATTCAGTTTCACATACAAAAAAGGATATACATAATTGGACTTGACCGTGAACTAAATTATTTCAACATTGAATTTAATGGTTTCTGTTACAGCTTAAGTTTGCCAGTTGTTCTACATAAATGTGGATAAGGTCAACAGCACGAGCATCTGGTGTTTCATTCAATCTGCTCTGTCTATGAATTACAGTCAATCAACAGTAAAGAGAAGTTTGCTTTCTGAACACATGACGTTTATCAGGCGCGTTGCTTTCTTGTCTGTGTCAGGACGGCCCATGGTGGTGTCCAGTGGGATGCAGTCCATGGAGACGATGCGTCGGGTCTACAAAACAGTGAAGGAGCACAACCAGAACTTTGCCATCCTGCAGTGCACCAGCGCCTACCCTCTGGAAGCTGAAGATGTCAACCTCAGAGTTATTACGGTGAGAAGAATACCTTAGAGTAGCACTCGTATATCAAAAGCTTGGTACAAAAACAATAGATTTTTAAAGATTTGTTGTTTTTAGCAGCTGAATTGCACTTTCAGAGATTAAGATTAAACTGTTTTGTTTATGCATTCTTTTAAATGCGTACTACACACAATAGTCCATTAAAGGCACTTCTCTGTATACTTTGGAATAGAGTAGGAAGAAGATGATATTTTTTTGTCTTAGTGACGTATCTTTGCCATGCCCTAATTTAATCACACCATGCGTTGTTCATCAACGGTGATAAATTATCCGAAAGTCCCGCAACACCAGTGAAGCTGGGGCTCTGTCTATTCAGCAAGCGTTCCTCCACTGCCACTACACTACCTACATGCTATGCTTACACATGCGCACTGATGACCCAGGGTTAGGGTTACAATTTTGGATTTATTCACGCACTTCAAAACATTTATTGAAAGTTTTATTCTTCTTCTTCTTTATTCATTATTTACAGCATTAAACATTGAAATTTATATTTTAGGCTCTATATTAACTTATTGGGAGAAAACTGGTAGTTCCATGTAAAATCAGACGTTGAGCACCCCCTTATAGCAAAAATGGCATGATCCTTGTTTCACTGCGATGCTTCTCTGTGAGATTGACAGTTTAATCAGGCTCCGCCCATCGAAGCAACAAATCTTCGACTGTTCGGGGTCAGGCCTAGTATACACGAATGTACTGCAAGTATGTACGTTACACAAACAAGATAAGATGTGTAAATTAATATCCTAATTTTGTTACCTTTGGACAGGGCTAGCATTTTCCATCCTATTTCCAGTCTCTAATGCTAAGCTAAGTAGCTCCTGGTAGTTTATTATTTTAACTTTATTTTAGTTTCAGTAACCTCATGATAAAAAGAACAGAATTGAGTTGTTTAGATATGTAGTGTCATACAAACACTGTATGGATATCTGAAACAAATCATATACTTTTATTTGATGGTCACCTTGTAACACAATAAATCTTTTTAACTCACAGAGAGTGTCCAAACATTTTTATAGTAGTTTATGTCCATAGTTTCCCACTTAATGTTTGACATTTTGGGAGTTGTTGATAGGTGGATTTTGTTAACGTTGGGCAGAGCCAGGCTAGCTGTATCCCCGTTTCCAGTCTTTATGCTAAACTAAGCTAACCAGTCGCTGGCTGTAACTTAAAATTTAACTGACAAATATATGAGGGTGGTATCAATCTTCTCATCTAATTGTTGGCAAGAAAGCCAATAAGCATATTTTCCAAAATGTTAAACTATTCCTTTAAGAGTACACTTGTTACCTAACCACTTGTTAAATACAGGAATACCAGAAGGAATTTCCAGATATTCCCATTGGATATTCCGGCCACGAGTCTGGGATCAGTATTTCAGTTGCAGCGTGACTCTGGGGGCAAAGGTCATCGAGCGTCATATAACCTTGGACAAGACTTGGAAAGGAAGTGACCATGCCGCCTCATTGGAGCCATCTGAGCTAACTGAGCTGGTTCGTTCCATCCGACTGGTGGAGAGAGCGATGGGGAGCGGCCTAAAGCAGATATTACCTTGTGAGAAGCCATGCCACGATAAGGTGATTCCCTCTCAACAAGAAAATACACAAAATATGAGTCTAATACTGTTTTAATGTTTTGAAGTGACATATTCACTGTTTAGAAAGCTAGAGAACCTTTAAGTAAACATCTGAGCTATTACTTAATTTCTTTCAACATTGTGCCATGAGAGCAATAATAACGTCACTGCCTTTGCTATGTTGTTCCAGCTGGGTAAGTCAGTGGTGGCCAAGGTCAAGATCCCCAGAGGAACTGTTCTGACTCTGGACATGCTGACGGTGAAGGTTGCTGAGCCCATGGGCGTAGCGGCCGAGGACATATTCCAACTGGTTGGCAAAACAGTGACGGAGGAGGTGGAGGAGGATGAGAGCGTCACGCCAGAGGTGGTGGACAGCTACGGCAAGAAGGCCAAGTGCTGAGGATGGAGAGTTTTGAATTGTATAGAAAAGGCACTTAATTTAAAAAGTGGAGATTTAGGGGGGGTAATTATAAAAGGAGCCTTATATGAGATTACGAGATTTTGTAGTTTTGTTTGGTGCTGCTGAGATTTCTGACACTGAAGTCATGGATGGTCAGTAAGTTGTTGCATAATTGGACAGAGCATTAGATTGATGGTTTGAAGATATCTTAGCTAGTGTTCAACAGATTACTCCTTTTCTCAAATAAGTAAGTAGTTCTCCTTTGCCAAAGTAGTTTTAATTTTCAAAACTCCGCCTTAATGTAATACACTTGGCAAACAGCCACTTAAATAAACCCACCATTATCTTACTAAGGGCTCAGAAGAAGTTTTAGTGCTGTGGTTGGTACTAGTGCAGTGCTTTTAAAGGTGGCACAAAAGCCAGTTGTTACTGTTAACTAAACATCCTTTGCACTATAGTTTTAGCCTGTACTGTAGAGATTAAATGAATATTGAACACATGAAGCTGCTACTATTCATCTCATCACACCACAGTGGGATCCTGGTCCCTATTTGCCAAACAGTCAGTGGACTCTTCATGTACCTTTGAGCTGTCACGATTGTCAACTGGTGCCAGAAATATCAGTTTGTGGTATCAGGCAGGGGTTGTACTTGTGCAGTTTCTTTGAGAGCAGAAAAATAAAACTAGTGGCATAGCATGGCCTAATGACCACTTTTACAGTTAACCTTGTTTTTGTAATAAACCAGACTCCTCCTTTTTTCTGGCACCCGCAACGTCCTCTTAAGTGTGCTTCCAGGGTCAGTGATGTTAATGCACATTTATAAATGTTTATATGTTAAAATCTGTTGAGACTGAAATCTCCAAAAAGCTCCAAATAAAACATTGCCCAACCCATTGATGTTTTCTATGTCTTTGTAACAATGCTTTGGTGTTTGGCTGGTGCTAAACTTAGAAGTACTCTTATTATCATGGCAAGTTATTTATGTAGAGTAAATATTTTCTGTATGCTATATTGTAACAAGCGACAAAGCGACTTACAACTGCTATATGTCAGAGGTCGCACGCCTCTGGAGCAACTAGGGGTTAAGTGTCTGAGTGTTGCTCAGGGACACAATGGTAGATGGGACACAGTGGGGGTTTGAACCCAGGTCTCTCACACCAAAGCCATGTGTCTTACCCATTGCGCCATCACCACCCCACCACAGTAAGAATGCATTGTTTTAGATCTGGAACAATTTAGTTCTGATGGATCAGACCTGTGTGGATATGGAGCGCGATAATAACAGAAAGGCTCCCAATTACCATCTACATTGTAAACATTACATTCTACATTCTTGGGAATAAATGAAAGGTATTTACAGGAAGAGACTTATTTCTGCTAGTATTTAATACTGCTACATTGAAAGTGCAACAGATACAGTTTATACATGCTAGATGCAGATGCTCCTTTTATAATTATTAGGTGTTGCATTCAAATTGCAATAAAATCACCCCCAGTTAGAAGCTACTATTCTCTAACACCATTGTGGCCAATTTTATTAAAGCATTAAATCATATCTATAGATCTATCTATATAGTATCAATAAAGACAGTGGCAGATAGCTATGCCCCCTGCAAGTGATCGTGTTCATGCTGCCCCTGTACACATACTGTGCATATTGCATACTATCATGCTATCTTACTTGACATTATTGGAGCAACTCTACTTTTGTCATGTGACTCTTCAGGGTGGTCTTGGGGTCAAACAGGTGACCTGTTGTATTATGAGCTTATATCAGCTTCCATGTTCAGGGATTTTTCTAAGACATCAAAACTATAAATTATTTTTTACCACAGGCACACACAAAAAAAACCCCTTTGTAATCTGATGTTGTGGAGTCAAGCAAGTCTCCAACTGATTTGGTATGAACACCATCTGCAGATGCAGGAACATGTTTGTTATTGCAGGTGTTAATGTTACATGGATTGTGTTTAGACTGTCTTAACAGTACACACAGAGCACAAAGGGCATCTAGATACACCGAGGTATTCTACCAAATCCCAAGTTAACAAGGAGAAGATCACCGTCAGAGCTTACAAAGGGATTTCACATTTGCTTTCATGCTTGCTTTAGTGCTCACTTTAGAAACTTAGTTGGTAAGAGTGAGAAGGGAAAGGTCACTAAACATCTGGTGAAGTAGTACTTCTCAGACACAACAATTTAACATTTTGAGATGTTATGGAAATAAATCTGAAGATTTCTGGCACTTCTTTGGACAACAAATAAAAGCAATGTTGCACTTGAGCCACTAGAGAGAGCTGTTCTCTGTTAGAAACTTGTCTGTCTGAGCCAAGTCCTTTAGTTTCATGGTGGTATGAGCTGGCGGTAGATGGTGGAGGTAATTAAAACAAATTAGCTACTGATATCATGAGCCTCATCGAAGATTAACAGAAGTTTAACTGTAACACTTAAGTTAATCACTGCGAGCCATCAGCCAGACAAACTAATATTTACCCCAAGCTCCTGACAGAAATCTGAGGAAACACTTAAAATGTGTCAGCTGCGGTTCATAAGAGGAAACAGTTGTGATTCTCCTGGTCTGAACTTCAGTTGGGTGCTCTGCTTTAAAAGAAACCCAGCAATGTCTGTACTGTATGTTAGCTGTGGCATCCTCATTTACCCAATTCCAGTTCAGTGTTCATAAAAATAACAAGCCTTAAAGTGAAGCTTGTCACTGATTATGCCAAATGTACTACATGAATGAAGGAGGATATGTTTTCTGGTTATCGGCAGGGGAAATTAAAGCATTACGAACAAGTAGGGCCTAATATCCCTGTCAGGACTTAAAAGCCATCTAGTAGGGTTTTATTATTCTACAGTGAGCTTAACGAACTTTATATTTTGTAAGTTTCTAATTTCAATATTATATTTTTAAAATGTTCCTAAAATAACTTTTGCTTTTTCACATTAGCATTTTTATGACTTTATCCATGTTGCATTAGTTTGAATTTGTCACATCATCTAGTAACATACGTTCTACTCGACAGTAAGTTCATGATTTTTACTATTTACTGTATCTTGTTTACTATATGTTTACCATATATTGTATAATGTCATATAATAATGTGATAAGTTATTGTTATAACTTAAAACGTTTCATATTATAATGTAAAAACTTGTTATAACATAAAATGTTTTACGTTATCAGTTGATGACATGTATTAAAAGCATCATCACTGTCCCCAGTTTACCTGTGAAACTTGAGACCTTTGTCTTCAAGATAGACAGCTTTTTTTCATTACTTGTTACTCAAAACGTTATGTAGATAGATTTAAGAATAAGAGAACTTCCATTATTCATCATCATCATTATCATCATCATCATCAGCTGGGGTGATGATGGTGCAGTAGATGAGACACATGCCTTTGTTGTGGCGGATCTAGGTTCAATTCCCACTGCGACAAATCCTGAGTAAGACATCTAATCCCTAGTTGCTTTTTTTTTTGGATAAAAGTGGCAGACCTGACAAGATTTCTCCACATGTTAAAGAGAGGTTGTTGTAAGAGCAATGCTCTTGTTTTTTTGCCTTTCCAAAATCAAAAACACAAGTCTGGAAAAAATATAAGAAATACATTATACTATTTGTATACATAAGCTGGAAATAGCATCTATAACTATGTTCCCCAGCTCAAGGAGACCTTTCAAAGGGTTTTATCCATCATCCATCCATCGTCAACCGTTATTCTGCGAAAGGCAGGGTACACCCTGGACAGGTCGCCAATCCATCACAGGGCCACATGTAGACAAACAACCAGTCACACTCACACTCACACCTATGGACAATTTACGGTCACCAATCAACCTAGGCCACATTGGACGGTGGGAGGAAGCCGTAGCACCCAGAGAGAACCCACGCAGACACTAGAACATGCAAACTCCACCCAGAAAGGCAATCGGAGTTTGAACCCACTACCTCCTTCCTGTGAGGCCACAGGGCTGGATAGCACTGTGGGGGTTTTATGTTCTTAGCATATTTTTTGCCTAGGTCAAATGTGTACAAATATAATATATGTAAAAATATGTATATTTTCTGGGTCAACATTGTCAATATGTTGAAATCACCTACCTACATAATGATGTTATACTCCTTGAGACCTACTCCTTCAAATTTGCAAGGGCGATAGTTTCCTTGAGTTTAGGCATTGATATCTCCACAGTGGCTGAACAGATTGTTACCATTTAAACCTCATTTGAAACATCCATCTCCTTTCCAATCCAAATCTTCCAAGATAACACTTACCAATCTCTTGCAATGTTAGCTTATATTGAGAGACACATGCTGGAACATAGGACCCTAGAAATGTAGGGACTAGCCCCTAACTACATTATTTTGTGAGATTGAAGGTTATGTACATCCACTGTGTGAGAGCCTTGATGCTAATGTCAGAGTTCAGGGTAAGTTTCTGTTTCCAGTTCTGTTCTGCTTTATTGTTACAGTACACTTCACTAAGCCCAGCCAAAAGATGTTACCCAAAAAAAGATATTACTCATGGGTTTGTAAGTATGAAATATGAATAATAAAGCATAAATGAAATGAAATAAAATGAACCTTGTCCAAGTAAGCTAAGTCATCAAACAGAGTTATGTATTTATTAAATATTTGCTTTGAGCATTTAGCTTGGCCTCAGTCTTTTAGCATGATATCAAGTAAACCATAAGTCAGCCGGAGACACTGTTTCCCAACAACTAATGAAGCTAAAGTTAGCTGAGATTAGCCAGCTACAGCTGATAAATCTGCCAGCAATAGCTGGCAAAATCCATTGTCGTACTAAAAATAGATTGCTTTTGTCTACATCTGTCTAATATCAGGGAATTAATTCAAAGGTTTCTAAGAATGCAACTGCATGCTTGACAGGCAACAGTAATTAAAGGGGGCAGGGCTTAGTGAACAGTCAGTTCTCTTAAAGGGAGGTAATTTTTTATAGTATAGTAGATTCATAGTCATTATAGATCTCATCGATTACCTGGGCTCTCCCTGCCACAGATAGATGGCCTCTCTTTAACTTATATATACTGTAACTTCCCAGTTATTTCAGGCACAAGCTTTAGCCAATAAGCTGCTGCTGATCCCAGCTTCACAGAAGAACATGAATCTGTCTCTCTAACGTGTCTCTGCCTTGCCTACCACTGCAAAATGATTTAGCATGTGTGCCACTTCTCACTGTGATGTACAAAAAAACAAATAATTGAATGGACTGGGAAAATTACTGTCTCATGCAAAATCACGGTCAACCAAGGCTGTGCTAATGTTTGTGTTCAATTGTAATTAGGCTAAATCTCTGTATGGTAACTTATTTCTTTTGTAAGAGAAGAGCTACCAAATGTCTGGTGAGGTTTATTCTGCATGCCAAGAGACTTACTTTTATCTCAAGTTCTGCAGGTGATGTACCTTAGCCTACCCAGAAGGTTAGGTCAGCTTGGTTGGTTATGTAACATGTTTAGCCTTTTCTTTACATAGGCCCTAATATAGCAGCTATGGCCCAAATCCTTACTGAGATCAAACAAGTAACCTTGGGCCATGGCATTGCCATGGTGTTTTACAGCATGGTAATAAATACACTGTACTAAATATAGAGAGAGGACACAACAGATATGGTCCCTGGACATATAGCCAGAGAAAATCCTGAAACTTCATCATCCTCTGTGCAGAATTGTTTTTATTGGTCTTGACTGGCTGAGGAAACAGACAGACTGTGGACCATCAAGAGCTACATTTTGCTTGTGAGGGAAAGTTAGCGGCCTATTGCATTAAGTATACTCCTCTTAAATTGGATAAGAACAGTAGAAGGTGAAAAACAATAGGTATTATGTAGGTCTGGTTTGATCTAATACCAGTGGGCTTATATGCTTTATAT